TAGGAACAAATACAAAGATCCAGAGATCCACAGCCGGAAATAATGCAGAGAATAAGACACCTCAGAACATTCAGTCTTAAGGGGGGTCTACATCAAATACCTCCCCTCAGGGCTCCAGGAACCCTGAGAAAGAGGAGGCAGAAAGAGTGTAAAGAATCAGAGGGGACAGGAAGATACCAGGAAAACAAGGCCCTGTAAATCAACATGATCAGATCTCATAGGAACTGAGAGAGGCTGAGATAGAATGCACAGGGCCTTCACAGATCTGCGCTGGGTCCTCTACATGTATTATGGCTTCCAGTTCAGTGTTTCACAGGATACCTGAGTGTGTGACTAAGTGGGTCTCTGTTACTTGTGCCTTTTGGGGGGCTCTTTTCCTTCTGTTGTTTTGTTTTGTCTAATTCTGATATGTTAGGTTTCGTTTTATCTTATTTTATTATTATCCCATATAAGCCTGTTTTCTTTTTTCCTAATGAGAGACAGAAATGAGGTAGATGTAGAAAGGAGGAGAGGTTGGAAGAAGCTGAGAGGAGTAGAGGGAGGGGAAACCATAATCAGGATAGACTGCATGAGAAAAACTATTTTCAATAAAAGGTGGAAAATAAGTGCCCATTTACAGGCTCACCAATCCTGAATATGGAAGAATGAATAACACTGAACCACAAACTCCTTGGGATTCACGGGTAGACTTCTTCCAAGATTCCCAGGCCACGAGTGCAAAGGGAAAGAGTACACAGAAGGGAAGGGGGTGGAGAAAACAGAAAACTTCAAAAGATGGGAGTAAAATATCCATGATTTTTAACAATGGTCTTGGATTTGGAGAAATATTTTTCCAATGCCCTCATAAGGAAAATCATTCTCAACTTAGAATTTTGTAGCTAGCCAAACACAGAATTTTATAGTCAACCAAAGGCTCAATCAAGTTTCAGTGGAAGATTCCATTTTCAGGGATACAAAGATCAGAGACATTTACCTCCTTCTCCTCATTGTATTTCCATAAAAGCAAGGGGTAAAGAATCAGGCACGGGAAACAAAAGTGTCAGAAAACGTGGAGGAAAGTATCTGGGTATCACATGCATCATGGACTTCTTAGACAAGTCCTTTCATTCCAGGCCTGCATGCTCTCTTTGCTCCCCAAGTACAGGATCCATGTCTTGTCCACTTTGAATTGAGTTTTAAAAGTTTGTTTTAAAATTATTATTACTAGTTTCTGTGTATTTATAAGTACTATTTATGTGTATGGGTGCTTTGCCTGTATATAGGTCTATGTACCATGTGCACTCTTAATGCCTGCAGAAAATAACTGGATCTTTGGAAGTGTTGTTGCAGGCATGAGCCACAGTGTAGATGCTGGGAGCTGAAATGAAGATCATCTAGAAGAAGAGCGAGTATTCTTAAACATTAACCCATCTCTCCAGCTCCTTCCTGAATTGTAAATTTGTAAATTACGTGTGCCTGTGTGTGTGCGTGTGTGTGTGTGTGTGTGTGTGTGTGTGTGTGTGAGAGAGAGAGAGAGAGAGAGAGAGAGGAGAAGGGGGGAAGAGAGATAAAGAGAGAGAGGGAGAGAAGGGGGAAGAGAGATAGAGAGATAGAGATAGAGAGAGAGAGAGAGAGAGAGAGAGAGAGAGAGAGAGAGAGAGAGAG